ACAGATGTGGATGAAAACAGTCTCTCTCTCCTTTAAAAGCATTTCAGATCTCCGGTGTACTTCCTCAGACACCAGATGAATCCTCCTCTTCACCCAGCTGCAATGGTATTCCCCAGGCAAGGCTGCCCAGAAACTTCCAATTTAGCACAGCAGCCCCGGATGAGAAGCTATTTGGGTTTTCTACCTGACTGCCCCTCTCCTCTCTTCAGGCCCAGGGGGTGTAAGAGTACTCACACTGTCATCTTCTGATAGCTCAATGGGTTGGTGGCTGCCTTTAGGCCTTTCGTGGGCCTGGCTCCTTCTCTGCAGCTCAGGATAATTTCCCTTGAAGATGGTGGAACAGTGGAGATCCTCTTTTCTCACTCAATTTTCCACCCCACACTACACCCCTCAGACCCAGGCTCTGCGATACTTAAGAGTTTCCTTGCTCACCATTCCCAACCTTCTGCCAGGGGATTGGCCAAGGTCCCTCAAGTATGCAGATCTAAGCTGCCTCCCCTCCTCCAGAAAGTTTTCAGGTTTCTTAAAAGGTGGGAAAGCTCCAGAAGCTCTGACCTTCAGAACCTCCCTAGTCTGTCCTGAGGTGAACTCCGGCCTCACTCACAGGCTAACTCATCCCAGGCTGCTACCCAGCCTCTGTGTAGAAAAATAAAACAAGAAACTACTATCTGACTAATCTGGAGGGTGTTACACACTCATCATGGAAATGGGATCTTCCCTGGTCTATAACATCTACACACACCAGTGCTAATCTTCATGCAATCATATTGGGATGTTTTATTCTCTGTCAGACAACCACTGCTATACAGAGGACCCGAGGGCACAGCCACACGTTGCAACCTTGCACAAATTAGCAATGACATACACCACATTGCTAAAAGTATTGGGACGCCTGCCTTTACACGCACATGAACTTTAATGGCATCCCAGTCTTAGTTCGTAGGGTTTAATATTGAGTTGGCCCACCCTTTGCAGCTATAACAACTTCAGCTCTTCTGGGAAGGCTGTCCACAAGGTTTAGAGTGTGTCTATGGGAATATTTGACCATTCTTCCAGAAGCACATTTGTGAAGTAAGGCACTGATGTCGGACAAAAAGGCCTAGTTCGTAGTCTCCGCTCTATTTCATCCCAAATATGTTCTATTGGGTTGAGGTCAGGACTCTCTGCAGGCCAGTCTAGTTCCTCCACCCCAAACTTGTGCATCCATATCTTTATGGACTTTTCTTTGTGCAGTGGTTGAAACAGGAAGGCGCCATCTCCAAACTGTTCCCACAAAGTTGGAACTTAAGAGTTTCAAGAGGCCAAGCCCAACCCCTGAAAAACAACCCCACACCATAATCCCCCCTCCACCAAACATTTCACTTGGCACAATGCAGTCTGGAAAGTACCGTTTTCCTGGCAACTGCCAAACTCAGACACGTCCATCAGATTGCCAGACAGAGAAGCATGATTCGTCATTCCAAAGAACACATCTCCACTGCTCTAGAGTCCAATGACAGTGTGCTTTACAGCACTGCATCCAACGCTTTGCATTGCACTTGGTGATGTAAGGCTTGGATGCAGCTGCTCAGCCATGGAAACCCATTCCATGAAGCTCTCTATGCACTGTTGTGCTAATCTGAAGGCCATACGAAGTTTGGAGGTCTTTAGCTATTGACTCTGTGGACAGTTGGCGACTTCGCACTGTGCGCTTCAGCATGCGTTAACCCCCCTCTGTCATTTTACGTGGCCTATCACTTTGTGGCTGAGTTGCTTTTGTTCCCAGTTGCTTCCAATTTGTTATAATACCACTAACAGTTGTCCATGGAATATTTTGTAGCAAGGAAATTTCACAGTTGGACTTATTGTAGAGGTTGCAACCTATCATAGTACCACACTTGAATTCACTGAGCTACTGAGAGCGACCCATTCTTTCACAAATGTTTGTAGAATCAGTCTGCATACCTAGGTGCTTTATTTTATACACCTGTGACCATGGTGGTGATTGGAACACCTAAATCCAATGATTTGGAGGGGTGCCCCAATACTTTTGGCAATATAGTGTATATGCAATGCAATAGCCTCTTCAGTGGGCTCCGGGTCATTGGGCTCGACAGCGGGCACCGGATCATCTGGCAGGACAGCGGGCACCAGATCATCTGGCAGAACAGCGGGCTCCGGGTCATCTGGCAGGACAGATGGCACCAGATCATCAGACGGGATAGGATCATCAGGCTGGATAGGGTCATCAGGCTGGATAGGGTCATCAGGCTGGATAGGGTCATCAAGCATCAGGGCATCGGGCGGGATAACAGAAGGTGGGTTCTCAGACAGCAGGCTGACCGATTTGGATACTGGCAGGATGGTACTGGTTGGAAAGAATTTTCGCTTCTTCTTGGGTTTAGTTACTGAAGCACTGCAAGTAAATGCAGGTCTGTAAGCGGAGGGAGCAGCTGAAGACAGAGAAAAGCTGGAGGATGGAACAGAGGAGGGAGCAGTTGCTACAGAGAGATACTTTACAGGGTTAAAGGCAGGATAGGTGCAGCGAGTGGGAACAGGGTACTGACATGTGGTTGACAGCAGGGTATACTGGGCATGAACTGGGGGTGCTGTCTGGAATGCAGGAATAGAGCTTTGAAAAAATGGATTAGAAGCGGGACTGGGTTTTTGCAAGCTGACTGAGGCTGGGTGTAACAAATCTGACCATGTCTGTAATACCGCTTGCACAAAGCTTAGCTTACACGTAGCCTGGCTGACCAAGGACTGCACTGCGTTTATACAATCCACAAGCACATGTGATGGACAAGCTGAATAATGCTCAAAGAAGCAATCTGGATCATCCTCTAACAACCATACCAGTGACTCTACTTGATCTGCACTTAATGGCGGAGAAAAGTCATCCCTGCTTTCAGGGGTACTGGACAGAGCCAACTCAGCACAAGCCTGGATCAATAGCTGGACCTCAGAAAACACCGTGCCCTGATCTACTAGCGAATGAGCAACCTGCATACACTCTAGCAGCTGATCCCTGGCCCACTCCTTCAGAATCTGATAGCAGTACTCTCTGTCTTCTATTGCTAGCAGAGACAAGTACAAAACCTCCTCCGGATGCATCCTTTCCAAACAACAAGCCAAGATGGCTTCCCTGTGCAGCCACTTCTGGTCAGGATTGGCCTTGGTGTTATGTCAGGGATCCGGGTATGACCAGAAATGTGTGGACTGACACAGGGAAGTAGCAGGCTTCAGGAATGATGTAATAATAATATAAGTTATTATTAGCTGCCCAAATATACAAAACGCACAGTAAACAAAACCAACCTTACACTAATATCAATATGTGCAGGAACACAGACGTAGTCAGGGCTGGAGAGGTGGAATGGTCAGGCAGACCGTAAGGTTCTGTCAGGGCTCCCAGGTATGACCAGAGGTGTGTGACTGATGCAGGGAAACGCAGACTTCAGATATGTGATAAACAATACAATTTATTAACACTAACCATACAAACATAAACGCAGTGCAATACTAAACATAATACAGTGCAAACAAACCAAACCAACCACCCACAGATAACAGTACATACAAGCAAGCGTCGTCAGGCAGGCCGGGTCAATATCAATTGGGCAGGTAGGTACAGGGGGAGCAAGCAGAGAATGGTCGGGGTCACAGGCCAGGTTCAGCAGGTAGCAAGCAGCGTAGTACAGAGGGTCAGGCAGAGGGATGGTCAGGGTCACAAGCCAGAGATCAAAACAGGTAACAAGCAGCGTAGTACAGAGGGTCAGGCAGAGGGACAGAAACAGGATGCAGGACAGATACAGGGCCCAGGACAAACACAACACCAAGCCCGAGTCTGCAAGTCTGGCCATCCCTTAAATACACCAGTATCATCAGTTCCAGGTGTTAGCTGGCTGAAAGGTTGAGTCTCTGATTGCTGGGAGCACCCGCTGGCCAGCCCTGGTACTGCAGATCAAAAGGCAGGTGAGTCCCACCATTGCTGGCCAGTCCATTCCTGACAGTACCCCCCCCCTCAAGGAGCGGCCTCAGGACGCTCCAAACAGTCCTAGCTGGGCAAAATGTTCCACCGCCCGGGTCTGGTAACTGGCGGGATATCAAAGACTGGCACACCGGGCAGGACTCCGGGCAGCGGCACACCGGGCTGGACTCCGGGCAGAGGCACGCCGGGCAGAGGCACACCGGGCAGAGGCACATCGGGCTGGACTCCGGGCAGAGGCACATCGGGCAGGACTCCGGGCAGAGGCACATCGGGCAGGACTCCGGGCAGACTCCGGGCAGAGGCACACCGGGCAGAGGCACATCGGGCAGAGGCACATCGGGCAGGACTCCGGGCAGAGGCACATCGGCAGCAGGACTCCGGGCAGAGGCACATCGGGCAGGACTCCGGGCTGAGGCACATTGGGTAGGACTCCGGGCAGAGGCACATTGGATTACCAGGCGAAGCAGCAGGCAGTGGGCCACCAGGCGGAGCAGCAGGCACCGGGCCCCCGGGCGGAGCAGCAGGCAAAGGGCCCCCGGGTGGGGCAACAGGCACCGGGCCCCCGGCCGGGGCAACAGGCACCGGGCCCCCGGGCGGGGTGACAGTCACCGGGCCCCCAGGTACTGCAGATCAAAAGGCAGGTGAGTCCCACCATTGCTGGCCAGTCCATTCTTGACAGTACCCCCCCCTCAAGGAGCGGCCTCAGGACGCTCCAAACAGTCCTAGCTGGGCAAAATGTTCCACCGCCCGGGTCTGGTAACTGGCGGGATATCAAAGACTGGCACACCGGGCAGGACTCCGGGCAGCGGCACACCGGGCTGGACTCCGGGCAGAGGCACACCGGGCAGAGGCACACCGGGCAGAGGCACATCGGGCTGGACTCCGGGCAGAGGCACATCGGGCAGGACTCCGGGCAGAGGCACATCGGGCAGGACTCCGGGCAGAGGCACATCGGGCAGGACTCCGGGGCAGAGGCACACCGGGCAGAGGCACATCGGGCAGAGGCACATCGGGCAGGACTCTGGGCAGAGGCACATCGGGCAGGACTCCGGGCAGAGGCACATCGGGCAGGACTCCGGGCAGAGGCACATTGGGTAGGACTCCGGGCAGAGGCACATCGGATTACCAGGCGAAGCAGCAGGCAGTGGGCCACCAGGCGGAGCAGCAGCAGGCACCGGGCCCCCGGGCGGAGCAGCAGGCAAAGGGCCCCCGGGCGGGGCAACAGGCACCGGGGCCCCCGGCCGGGGCAACAGGCACCGGGCCCCCGGGCGGGGCGACAGTCACCGGGCCCCCAGGTACTGCAGATCAAAAGGCAGGTGAGTCCCACCATTGCTGGCCAGTCCATTCCTGACAGGTACTGTCAGGCACCACCCCGGCGGGATCTCTAGTGACCCACAGAATGGGATTCCCCAGGGCGCGGAGTCTAAGCCCCAGTCTGCCTTTTCACCAGAGCCCCTGATGGTGGGGATGGACTTGGCGCAGGACTGAGACCAGGTCGCGGCCCCTGAGTGCACCCAACTGTGGTAGAGGGGTCCGCCAAGGGTATGTACCGGGGGAGAGCCTGATGTGAAGGGGCTGGCAGGTTCGGACAGGAGTGACTGGATCCGTGCGGGATGGATGGATGACAGTATGGAGTGTAGTGTAGTCAGGGTCACGAGCCAAGGTACAGCAACAGGAGGTCAAACAGCATAGGAGTAGGCAGAAGAATAGTCAGGGACGAGCCAGTAGTCAGAACAGGAGACGGTCAACAGGAATCAGGATCAGGCAGGGTCGGCAACAAGGTATCTTCTCTCAGGAACAGATGCACAGGAACTAGGAACAAGATACAGGGGCTCATGGGAAAACACCAAGGCACTGATTGCAGGCCTGGTTACTGCTTAAATACACCTCCTGCAATCAGCCTCAGGTGATGGCTTGATTGCAGGAGTGAGATCCTGGCTGCTGAAAGCACCCGCTGGCAAGTACCGGTACTGCAACCCACACGGCAGGTGAGCCCCAGCATCACCAGTGGTAAGTCCATTCCTGACAGCCTCTCCTTGACATTTGAATTGTTAAAATGTCCTGCATATTCTGTACTAGGTCAAAAAAATGTAAGTAAAAATATGTCCCATACCTACTCCCAACTTGGCTGGATGATGAATAAGCTACTGTAATGACTATCCTTTTTGCATCTTCACATTAATCTGATTTGCAACTAGAGTTGTCAATTCAATTTTTTTTTTATAGACCAACTTAAAAAATCAGTAGTTTTTCAAATATACCTCAGATATTATTGTCTTCTATATCTGTATCACTTAAATAGTTCAATAATCCCCTATATTGCAGTAGATTGTAAGCATGTCAAGGTTCTGTAGCCCTCCCCTATACCATACTAGGTTCTAACCTTTTCAACCTTCTGTTGTCCTCCCTTATACAGTAGTAGATTATACGCTCTTCCCCTTCGATATTACTCCTTGTATCTGTAACACACTACACTAATACTTATTGCAGGATGTTAACTAACCACAAGATGGCAGTGTTCTGTGGTTTAGTTAATCAGATTTTATTGAAGTCAAGCAAAGCCTTGTTGAACTTGTATGCTGCTAGCAGGACGTCTGCACTCAGACAAAGAGTGAACAGACTACCTTTCCCAGAAGAACTGGCAAAGGGGTGGGAGCTTAAATATATTTTGAGAAGCCCAGGAACATTTCAGGAAGGAACTAGATGGTGAGAGGCTGTGAAGGTGTGTATGGAGAAAGGAAATGTGGGACTCAGGGGATCCAGGCTGGATCACGCCTCATCGCGAGGAAGGAAAGAGGGACTGCAAACTGCTAGTGTCACTGAGAAGCAGGACAGCTAGTCCTGCAGGCATGCAGATCATAGTGCTATCCTTCTTTGATAGAGGGATCTAGATAACACGGGGTCACCCCAACAGTGTCTACAAAACCCCAGGTCTCTCCTCTGCACTTAAAAGCATTCATTGTGATAGAATGTTCCTATTTTTTTTAAAATGGTGCCGTGTATTTTTGAGTAAACCGGAAGTGATGTCAGGTCATCGCTTCCAGTTTACTATATAAATAGACTGAAAAAATCCAGTCTTTGCTCCGCTGTGTGACCAGCCAACACCAGCCCTGGCTGATCGATTGGTACTCCCGGTGGGACGGAAGATCCCATGAAAGTGGTGGAAGGTGGCGGGAGAGGGGGGCATCTCCTCCTGCTGCTAGTTAGCCACTCCGATTGCTGTTAGAAGAATGCCGGCTGCAAATAACAGTACCAGGGTGATGCTTGCAGCTACAGGCATCATCCCGGTACAACCACTTGACTGGTTGGCAAGTGGATAGTAAAGCATTGCAAAATATCACTACAATTGTTGTAAAACCATTATAAGCCTACAGTCACATGAATTTTCATGTTTTACCTAGCAGAAATACTTAAACTATTAGCTCTGATGATTTTACCATGATCATAGATATGTTTAATAGATTTGAGCCTTGCGAAAAGGAAACATACATACTTTTTAAAGTGTATTTTAAATGGATAATGCATATTGATGTAATGCAGATTTCATAATGTGTTCTTATTACAACGCTTTCATAATATCACTAGGATTGTATGCAGCTGTATAGAGGGCTAGTACAACTGCAACTACAGGCTGGATTGACAGTCAGACCCAAGGCCAGCAGGTCACAGGTCTCAGAAATTCCCCCACACTAAAGTGAGCCCACAAAGCAGAGAGAAGACTCCTACCTAATATATGGAAGTGACTGGATGCCAACCCTGTGTCCAAATTCTGCCCTTGCTCTATTATTATTTAATATGATAGTTCTGAATTTTAATGCACATGCTCTTCTGGCACTTTACTACACATGAAACTACACCATGGTAAATGTGCAGATCACAAAGCCAGTTTTGCAAGCATACAGAAACCTGAAATTTTTGGTTTATGGGCTGTCCATAAATAATGGACAGATGGCAAACCAGAGGTTCTAACCCTATCCCACTCTATCCAAACCTTACATCACTTGCACTGAGTTAGGTTTTAAGTGGAAAACCTGCCTTTTATAAAAGCAAAACTTTATTGTAAGTGCTAGAAAATATTCTAGTGGAATCAGATTGTGTAGTATTTTGTTGTGTTCTGCATAAATTCCCTTACTGGATGTACTGTTCAGCTCTGACTATTATGACCTATTTTATACATTCAATGTAGCAAACATTGCTCAATGTATTTATAGAAAGTGATAGTAATGGTATCTCACAGCAATGAATCATTTAAATGAATTTGTTGCCATGTGCATAGCACAATTTATCTCTTAAGTATAAAAGCTTAGAAAATTTAACTCAGTACATCTCATCTAAGTCATTAATTCATATATGTTATAGTACATCTGTTACAATGAGCTCTATTGCTAATCTCCAGTGATGTTTTGTTTTTGAAGACAATATAAAGGAAATAAAATACATCTTTTACTATTCATAATACATAGACAATCTATCAAACACTTGACAAAAATTTAAAAACTTACACTTAAAAGTAGGAAGTTGCACTATACCCATTTCTTAGATATGCTTAGAAGGCAATTTAAGTAATGTATAATTGGTAAAGTAGGAGAAGGGTGAGATTGACATTCTACTTTATGGTTTCCTTATGTTTCTTGGAGGATTTGACACATACATGATCTTTTGGGTGGATGAGTGCATATTGGTATAATGGTCATTCAAGGAACAGTGTTTAATTATGGTGGAGATCTAAGAAAAAGTACTGTACTATCAAGAGACAATGGCTCTGATTCATGAAGCTTCACTGGCATTTAAGATGTACTGAACAAAGCTTAAAGCCTAAGCCCACCTTATTTTTTTTTAAAAACCCATTGCCCATCATGGTAAAAAACATGAAAAAACAGCTTTCGCAATACTTGCCTTCTTGCCAGCACTGTCCCCTACAGACTGACCCTTCTGTATTCCTGCAGTGGTCCTGTTCCAACCAAATAATAAAGGATTTAATGCTTATTTTTCTAGATGATGAGTGTTACTCACCTTAATCTAGGGAGCTGGTCTTTGTCCTTGCTCCATCTGGTTGTGATGACCAGTCAACAGTGACCAATATCCTTGACAGTCTCCAGTCTTGTTGCCTCCATTCTTGCCAGCATCACCATGTACAGTGCAGGACAATTGCCCACCAGGGTGCTTGCATTGTATGTGATATTGCCTGCCCACATTCCAACACTGCAGAGAAGAGGACCTGAATGGTGACTATTATGGGAGCCAGGATTGAAGTAACTCTCTGTTTTATCTCAGCGCCTAGAGAAAAAATTAGCATTAAATAGTTTATTGGCTGATGAGGAGCATTTAAAAAATTTGTGAATACCCAAAAGACAGCTTTAAAGTAAGACATTATCAAACTAATTTTATATTCTGCACTCGTTTGAGGCAATGTTGAGTAAGCAGTTGTCTCTGAATCGCTGTTCTGAAGTTGAGACCCTTTACCTTTCCACGCTGCATTATCATTCCACCATCTCTGCTGCTTCTTCCACTGACATTTTAGAAAAAAATATTTATGTTATTGTATTTAAAATAGAGATTTGATGACCTTCACCCAAATTGTAAAAAAAATTAAGCAAACAACCAGTTTAAGTGATTTTAAATATCAAATAAGAAATACAAATCCACTGTTACATGTGATCTTTTGTTTTATTGATTACCTTATCTTTTTTGGTCCTCTGTTCTGTTATTCCAGAGGCTAGTTTAGTAAAGGGTGGATGATTTTGTTTGCCTTTACTTCCCAGAATAGTTTTCTGCACCACCCCAAGATGCGCCATTACTCCACCAGAAATTGTTTTTCTTTTCATATTGACATAGAAATGGCAAAAAAAAATGTTTCCCTTAAAGATTAAGCAATTTCTTGTGAGATGTTGCAGTGATTCCTGGAGGGATCTGATGACATAGACTTCCTGGGGGCATCTATGACAGGCTACAGGCCAATTTTACATTGCTGCATCATCTGCATTCTCTTAATTCTTAATAAGAGTTTGACCAAAATTGGCCAGCAGTGGGACAGCTTTGCATTAGCAAGAACAAGGACAACCACAACAAACTACTGGCCAATTTCTATTTGTCAGTCAAAGTGGGCCTATTTGAAAAAAGTTGCAAAATCTACAAGAAAAAGGGTCTTTTTAAGCTAAATTTAATCAGATTGGGATGCTTCAGCTGTATGTACAGTAAACCAAGTTAATTGTAATAGAAAAAAGTCAATTCCACAGGCAAACATGAGCTGTCAGTGTACGCTGTTGCAGAGATTGCTTGTGAAAATAGTTGTCACGGTCTAGCCTGCATATTTTGGTTTGTGAAATTATTACTTCCTTGCTGCAGTGTTCTGTGACTCCATTTCATATATGCTGCTGGCTTTCCTCCTAATCTGCTTGAATATATATACACGTATTCAGAGCAGGCCATGCTGCCTGAGCAACTTTACAGTTCTTTGAGCTCTTATT